TTGGATTGCCATCTGTCAGAGATAATATAGGGTTTCCTACTTGGGCAGGAGATTGGACTATATGACCTACAGTCCCTTCCAACTCTGTTAATCTGTTAAATCTTCTTTGTGTCTTTGATCTGCTGATTATCTTGTTTGTTTGACTGGTGCTCTGGCACCTTGGGATGCCTTTGTGGGTTGAAAAACAACTTGCCCACCATCCATGTCGGATTCCCTGCCCATTGATCTCCCCCCCTCTCTCTTTCCCTCCCTTCCTCCCTCCCTGTCTGTCTCCCTCCCTCTCTCTCTGCCTCTGTCTCTCTCTGTGTCTCTGTGTCTCTCTCTTCCTCTCTCCCTCTCTGTCTCTCTCTCCCTCTCTCCCTGTCTCTCTCTCCCTCTCTCTCCCTCTCCCTCTCTGTCTCTCTCTGTCTCTCTCTCTCTGTGTGTGTCTCTCTCCCTCTCTCCCTGTCTCTCTCTGTTTCTCTCCCCCTCTCTTCCTCTCTCTCTCTGTCTCTCTCTCCCTCTGTCTCTCTCTGTCTCTCTCTCTCTCCCTCTCTCCCTCTCTGTCTCTCTTTGTCTCTCTTTCCCTCTGTCTCTCTGTCTCTCTCTCCCTGTCTCCCTGTCTCCCTCTGTTTCTCTCTCCCTCTCTCCCTCTCTTTGTCTCTCTCTCCCTCTCTGTTTCTCTCTCTCCCTCTCTGTTTCTCTCTCTCTCCCTCTCTGTTTCTCTTTCCCTCTCTCCCTCTCTGTCTCTCTCTGTCTCTCTCTCCCTGTCTCTCTGTCATTGTCTCTCTGCCTCTGCCTCTCTCTCTCTCTGCCTCTCTCTCTCTCTCTCTCTGTCTCTCTCTCCCTCTGTCTCTCTCTGTCTCTCTCTCTCTCCCTCTCTGTTTCTCTCTGTCTCTCTCTGTCATTGTCTCTCTGCCTCTGCCTCTGCCTCTGCCTCTCTCTCTGTGTGTGTCTCTCTGTCATTGTCTCTCTGCCTCTCTGTCTCTCTCTCCCTCTCTCTCTGTCTCTCTCTCAGAGTATGCAGATGTATTGCCTTTACGTGGCACTGATCTTGCTCCTGATATGACGTGACACCTCTTAATGCAACAGGGAAGCCACACAAGGTGGAGTCGGCAGCCGTGTGAAGAGATGACACGGGGCTCACGCCTGGCCCGTTTGAGTCTTCAGCCTTCATTTCAGCCCTCATGTTTTCAGCTGCCACGTAAACCAATCTGATGTGATAAAAGGAAACAGGGCTGTTCAGAGCAGATAGGCAGAAAAGCTGTGCTATGTCTCCAGATGTTCTTCAGCCATCCAGGTCATGGTGGTCCCAAAGGTGCTTTATTTTTCAAGAGGCAACTGGACTTCCTGGTTTTTGTCTTTGAAGATGTTTTGCTTCTCATCCAAGCAGCTTCTTCAGCTCCATGGTCACGTGATCCAAATTCGGCCGCTTGGCAACTGGCTCATGTTTGTGACCGTTGCAAGGTCCCTTTGATCATATCACCCTCCGTACTTTGCTTCCTTGGACTAGACCAGGGGTGTCAAACCCCCACGGCCCCCTGGCCAGATGCATCACATGTTGGCCACGCCCACCCCCGTTTTAGCAAAGGGGGGAAAAGTTGGCGATACGTCACGTGACGACGTGAATTTGACACCCCGGGACTAGATCTACCTAGTTCCCTCAATCATTTGTCATGTGGTTTGGCCTCCACTGCCGCGATTCACTTAACCATGCTGGCAGGAAAGGTCACCAAATGGGGCAAAACTCACTTAACAAATCTCCCTTGGCCACATAAATTTGGGGTTCAACTGTGGTCATAAGGCGAGGAGTGCTTCCGAGAACAAATATAGAATAGAATAAGAGGAAGAGGAAGAGGAAGAGAGTAAGAGTAAGAGTAAGAGTAAGAGTAAGAAAAGAATAAAACAGAACAGAATAGAATAGAATGCAGAAACAGGAGGAGGAGAAGAGGAAGGAGGAGGAGGAAGAGGAGGAGGAGGGGGAAAGGGGAGGGCAAGGAAGATGAAGGGGAGGAAGAGGAGGAGGAAGAGCAGGAAGGAGGAGGAGGAGGAAGAGAAGGGAGGAGGAGGAGGAAGAAGAGGAGAAGAGGAGGAAGAAGAGGAGAAGAGAAAAGGAGGAGGAGGAGGAGAAGAGGAGGAGGAGGGGAAAGGGGAGGGGGAGGAAGATGAAGAGGAGGAGGAAGAGAAGAAGAAGAGGCGGAAGAGGAGGAAAAGGAGGAGGAGGAGGAGGAGGAGAAGTCATTTCATTAGGACAGATTGGGGCAGGAAAA